TTGGCGTCCGCTCCGTAGTCGTCCAACATCATTTTTACAAATTTCGATTTGCCTCGGCGGACTCCCCAAAATAAGGCAGAGCTGCGTTGGTGTCGGACGTTGAACGTGTACAGATAGTCGAGGAAAAGGTCATTCGCTGCATGATTGAGACAAGCCAGTGCAAACAAATCTCTGGCTTGATCCAGGCTCTCCGCTATGCAAAGAAGCATTTCAACGGGAAGATCGAGGAGGAACATCTATCCCTTACGTTAGTATTAACTCATACACCGAGTCGTGTAGTAAATAGTGGAGGCGGGCATACTCACATTGAAATGTTGGGTTAAGAGGAGCTGATTACGGCTTGGTTCGTGTGGAATTGGCCTGGTGGGTGACTTGAATAGAAAGCTGAGAGATGGAAGAAAATGCTTGACTGTCTTATATGTGTCATAAGATATATCTTGTGGCAATCTGTCTGAGCTCAGGGTCCAGGATGACTCCTCGTATGATAGGAAATTAATGGGAAAAATTCAAGAACGAATTAGGCTCCCGGGAAGCAGTATTAGCTACCATGACCCCTACAATGTGAGTACACACGGTTCGAGCGGTGGATCCCGGGTTGAAAAAAAGATTCTGAGTCGCCAATAGATGGCAAGGTCCTAGATTTCCCGGCGTACGTCAGGCCCTCCCTGATATATACCTCGTCATTAAACGAGGAGTTGCTACTTCCTGGAGCAGCCAATCGGGCTCCCGGGAGCAATGGTCTTGTATGTGATGATCATACGGATACAGAGGTTGATAGGGTCTCAGATCAGCAATCGACATTAAGGAAACCTATAGCTGACGCTAGACAAGTCGTGGCTCAAGGAAGCAATAGAGAGAAGCTTCCTCGCGTTTAGGGAGACACATATGTGGAACAAAACTGGGGGCGCACCGAGTCATAGCCACGGTTAGCAGCAATGTGAGGTGCAGGACTATTCAGGTGTCCCACCAACATCGTATGCACCCATGTGGGTCCCGCGCAGACCACATCTCCGTCCGTATGCTTCGTAGGGCTAGGGGCTCCTTGAGAGCTGCTTCTTGGCTCCCACAAACGTTTTAGAGGCTCCCAGGAGCAAGAGAACTCCCAGGGCCCAGAGATTAGTTCCTAGTACGGATGGAACCGTCTGCAGGAGCGTGAACAGTTCCTTGATAGTGATGATGAAGATGTGCATCTTTGTATCTGGATACTGCGAGTGAGTATCTATTCGCTATTCATACGGACAGCGACAGAAAATACGCGCATAAAACTGGTATCATTAATCAGGCCTAATAAGTATGGTTTCCCGCTTACTTCTGGAGGCAGTAATGGGACTGCCTCTGTCTGGGCACGAATTGGAGGCGAGAGACCGAGATAAAAAACACTTGCTGGTCCTATCCATAGCGAACGACCGAGCACGTGAAAGCAAAAAAAGTCTTGACACGGAATGCTTTTTTAAGGGAAGAAATGGTATCTCCTACTAATTCATGTCAGCATAATAGTGAATCAATACAGCATTTGTGGCCTATAGGAAGCGTTATCGGGGCCGCGTCTCGTTCCCCGAAAATCGGCAAGTCGTGTTTGCTTCCGGGAAATAGTTTTGCCGGGAGCGGGATCAGCTGACATCAGCCAAGTGGAGACAGCCCATCGACGCCTGTCGCAGGATATCACTCTTCTTTACTACACATCAATGGCTGACCCCAGCTTCCCAGATTACAGAACTCTTTATCTGCAGGCGGAAGAGAGACGGTGTCAGGAAGCAGAAGGGAGGCGGCAGGAAGCAGAAGGGAGGCGGCAGGAAGCAGAAGGAAGGCGACAGGAAGCAGAAAGAAGGCGGCAGGCGGAAGAGCGCGAGAAGCGAGAAGCAGAAGGAAGACGGCAGGCAGAAGAGCACAATCGACCGACCACTTTCACGGAGCTCATTCAGCACTGCCATGTCCTTCTCTCCCGATCGCTGAGAATTGATTCACCATCCCGCTCAACAACTGGGAAAATACCTCTTCCCACCGGAAAATACTGCCCGACTCGATTGGAACATTGGACCGACTGCCCAGAACAGCTCTCAGAGGTCTACAGGTCCGTCTGTCAATATCTTCAGCCCGAGCCGGGAGAGGCACCACGTCTATTCTCGTCTCTGGCCGAAATAGAAGGGCTCGGTCGTCGATTTGCTCGCAAGCCACTTAGTAGCGAGCAAGAACTTGAGGCCTACGAGCGGTTTGGCGTGGAGGAACATGTCCACGATATAATCATCGAGCTGTGCAAACTGCCAGCTGCTCGTGAGGAGTTCGGGCTCGGTGATGGAATCCAGTTCAGCAATCATACGAATTCCTTGAACGAGAACGAACCCGTTGAAGCTGACGCAAGCCAATTGCCGAGCACAAGTCACCCACGACCTGACCAGTTTTGCATAAATCGTGTCGACGGTAACTCGACCACCGTCCTGACGACGGTCGAGTACAAGCCACCTCACAAGTTGTCTGTTGCAACCTTTCGTATGGGACTTCGACCAATGGACCTATGGAATGATATGGTCAGATTTAATAAAATCCCTACCGACCAGGAAGCAAAGTTGAAGCACAGTGCAGAGCGCCTCGTCTGCTCCGCCATTGTGCAAGAGTACCATGTGATGATTCAGGAAGGACTCGAATATTCATATGTGACAAATGGGCTTACCCGTGTTCTCCTCCGTGTTCCGCGTGACCAGCCTAGCACGGTCTATTACTTTTTCTGTGATCCTCACAGCGAAGTAAACCCGGAAAGCGATACGGTTGTCCAGCTATGGAAGTCGTCTGTTGCGAGGGTGTTGTGTCTTTGTTTGATGGCATTTCGCTCACCCATCCGTGAGCAAGAATGGAGAAATCGCGTGCGCCCAAATCTTCACAAATGGAAGACAAACTTCGATCACACGCGTTCGCAGATTCCGAGAAGCGAGCTACAGCAAATCTCCCACTCCGATAGCACGAACCCTGATTTTCCAAGTCCGGAGTCTGGTACATCCTATGGACTACCATCGTCGTCTCCGCTGCCGTCTCCCTCGGAGGGCCGTCGAGTGCATACACGATCTCAAACCACTTGTGCACCCTCAGAGATTCGACCGCGCTCGCA